CTGGGGTGAAGGGTGGTAGAAAAAGAGGAAAGAGTTTTCTTCCCATAGGTCAGACATGGGGACAGAGTGGTGAGCTAAGACAGGCTCAGTCCCTGCCCTCATGGAGCTTGTGATCTAGAAATAGCAAGAGCGAGATTAATCACAGAACTGTTTAAATCAGGAGTCAGTACACTATGACTTATTGCCTGTTTCTGTATAGCTCATAAGGTAATCAAAGTGTTACTTTTTTTAATATTGTTACATTTTTTAATGTGGAAAAAAATCAAAAGAATAATATTTGGTGGCACATGAAAAATTATATGACATTCAAATTTCAGTGGCCATAAATAAAGCTTTATTGGAACACAGCCAGGCTCATTTGTATTCATATTGTCCATGACTGCATTTGCCCATGATGGCAGAGTTGAATCATTTCGACAGAGACTCCCTGGCTTGCAAAACCTAAAATATTTGCCATTTGGCCCTGAAAAAGGGTGCTAACTCCTGGTTTAAATCAGTATAAACACACCATGGTGGACAGGGCCAAGAGGAAAAGTAGATGTGCTAGGAGGAGAAATTACCGAGCAAACCAGCCTCACCAGGGAGATCAGGGAAGGCTTCCCAAAGGAAGTGATGTTTGCCCTTCAATCTGAGATGACAGGGGTTAGCCAGGCAAAGAGGGTCAGGATAGTGCTCTGAGCAGGGGAACAGCAGGGGCAAAGCCCTCGCAGCTGCGGGAGCATGACAAGCAGAGAAGCCCAGAGTGGCAGGAGAGCAGTAAGTGAGAAAGAGAGATTTGGGGCTGGAAGGGCGGCAACAGCCAAGCTCTGAGGGCTTTTGTGGCCACACCGGGGGCAGTGGAGGCCAGTGTCAATGGCAAGTTCCAGATGATGTTGGGTTTTAGGGCTGTTGAAGCACACAGATGAAGGTGCCAGGTTGGATATCTGGGCTGGACATAGAAAATGTGGAGTGATCAGTGTAAAAGCGGTAGTTGGAGGGACTGGCGTGGAGTGAGAAAAGGAGAGGGTGAAGGTCAGAGCCTGTCGAACTCTGCCATTCAAAGGTCAAGTGCAAAAAACAAAAGTGGCCAGAGACATGGGAGGAAACACTGGAGAGAATGATGTTCTGCATCAGTGTCTGGGCCGTGTGGGCCCAAAGTGGCCCCAGCATCAGGAAGAGATAAGACATAAAAGCAAGACTGCAAAGGAAGAGTCAGTGAAACTGATGATCATCTGGATATGAAGATGAAGGCAAAGGGGAAGGAGGGAGGCCCCAGATCAGACGGAATTAGAGGACAGAGGTGCGGCCTGGTCTGAGAGGAAGATGGTGCGGGTGTGTGGGGACAGGCTGAGTTGGGATGACAATGAGAAAATTTCAAGGAGAAGGGCTTGGAGCTCCAGAGAGAGGGGTGGCATAGAGGAAAGAGTCTGGGTAAGAAAGGCAAGAAGCAGAAAGCAGGAGAAGGAAGGCGCAACTTGGGGCGGGGGCTAGGGGATGCCCAAAGCAATGGAGGTCTTAGGAGCAAGGGCTGTGCCCAGGCTATAGTTCTAGCAATGCCCTCCTGCCTGATTTAGGACCATCATCCCTTCCCACACACCCAAAATCAGGATGGGGCTCAGCACAAGAATAATCCCAAATCAGCAGGTATGAATGAGGTCATCCTGTGGTTTCTTTGTCCTGCTCCCCAGGCTGACCCCAGCATTAGGCAATCTGCTGCCTCTGAGTGGGAGCCATCAGGACATCTCTGCCCCACCAGGAGGTGGGGGCTGGAGTGGAGGAGGAGCCAGGGTAGTAGGTACCCCAACATTAGGCTCACATCTATGGCTATTCGTGGGGGAGACTGCGCCTCAGACCTGAGTTCAGGGGGTCTTTGGGGAAAGAGCCAGCTGGGTGATATGGCCTGGGCCTCTAAGGCCAGCTGACAATCTGCCACACGCCCTGGAAGAGTAGAGCAAACAGGCAGAGGTGGGTGACATGGAGAAAGGATAGAACTGGTGGAGAAGGAAAGGGGTCCCTGAACAGGAAGGCACCCAGGGGCCCGAGCCAGCAGCGTCCAGAAGAGCCCGGACAGACTGTGTCCCCATTGTCCCAGCAGAGGACATTCTGGCCATGCCAGGGACACCACAGGGTCACAGCCAGAGGCCAAGACCTTGGGAGAGGGACAGAGAGTCCATCCTGGAGTTTTCAGGTAATTAAAGTATTTTTAAAGGCTGAGATCCAGGAACAGGGGAGTGACCCAGATGGTCAATACTCCATTCCTTCATCCAACCAGTAAGGCAGTATCTGGACAACACATAAAACCTCACTCCATACATGTTGACCCTTATGATTCTGGTTATTATTATCCTGTGCTACACACTAAGTAGGAAGTGTGATCAACGAGGGCAGGGGGGGCGCTTTGATCAACAGGGCAAGAAAACTAAGCCTCAGGGAACTTAGTGAGGGAGATGCACAACACTCAGCAGGATTAATGCCTCCACATGGGAGGTCTGGGAGGACTTCCTGGAGGAAGGGGCTTCTAAGTGACACCTGAAGGCCAACTAGGGACCAACCAGGTTAAAAAAAAAAAAAAAAAAAAAAAGGACCAGGACAGGGTGCTCCAGGGAAAGGGAACAACCATGCACATGTAAAGATCTCAGGGGTTTGGCAGACCAGCAATAGAATGGGGTGGTGGTTGTTAATTGTTAGTGATTTAGAGCAGCTATGCCAGTAACTACTAATTACGTACTATTAATTCCTAGAGATGTATGATTCTGAGCAGGTGCCTCCCTCTCTCTTTGAGCAGATGCTTCAGTTTGCCTAACTGTAGGATGACAACCCTTTCAACTCTGAGTCCCTGGTCACCCACCCCTCATTGACAGCTGTCATAGGCCTTAACAAAACTGTGCCTGGTGACTAGGCTGTGCGCTCAGACCTATACTTAAGGACTAGTCACAGAGGAAACCTGGGGAAGGCTATGGGGGCTGCCTGTGACATCCACTGAGATCATGCCCCAGCCTGATGGGAGCCTCATTCTGGAGATGTACCCAGAGTCCAGAATGGTGTCCCCACAGCTCTATCAATTTCATCTTGATGAAGTAGAGGTTGAAGATTAGGGTGGGGCCCCCCAGAGGACAGTAGGGTCCTGGAAATCCTCCCTATTTGATTTTTTCAGAGCTGGCAAAAGCCTCCAGGAAGTGCCTGGTATTGAGTCCCTGGGTCCTGCTAGAGCAGCTAGCGATGGGGTGGAGGATTGCATCCAGCCCGTTCTGAGCACTTAGGGCAGGTATTGCCGCTCACAGGCTGAGATGAGGACTGCCTTAATGGTGCAGACCCTGGAGTATGATCCCCTCTGTTTCCCCCACAAAACCTCTCAAGGCCTGGGACCATCCCTTTAGGACCATGGGATAAACCTTAACCCCCTCCTCCCAATGTTTGTATCCAGGGAACCTCAGGCTAAGCAGAATATGCCAAGTAAGAGCCAACCCTAGCACTGGGACTGTCTGCAAGAAAATGAACCACAGGCACAGTGATGTTTTATGTCTAAGACTTGCCTTACAACTTGACACAGTATCTCCTACATAATTCACCCAGAAGCTAAGCCATCCTAGTGGCTAGGAAGTGGTATCTCATTGTGGGTTTGATTTGTATTTCCCCAATGCAGAAGGATGTTGGGAATCTTTTCATGTGCTTATTGTGCATTTGCATACCTTCTTTGGAGAAATATTTATTCAGATCCTTTGCCCATTTTTAATGGGGTTATTTGTCTTTTTACTGTTGAGTTGTGGGAGTTCTTCATATATGCTCAACACAAGTCCTTTATCAGATATACGATTTGCATATATATTTTTCACATTCTGAGGGCTATCTTTTCACTTTCCTAATGGTGTCTTTTGGCGCATGGAAGTTTTTAATTTTGATGACATCCAGTTTATGTGTTTTTTCCTTTGTCACCTGTGCTTTTGATCTGTTGTCTAAGAATCTATTGCCTAATCCAAGATCATAAAGATTTACTCCTATATTTTCTTCTAAGAGCTTTATAGTTTCTGTTTTTACATTTACATCTGTGATCCTTTTTCTTTTCTAAATGATACGAGGTAGAAGTCCAACCTCATTCTTTTACATGCAGATACCCAGTTGTTCCAGCTCTATTTACTGAGAGGACTATTCTTCCCACCCTGATTGTCTCAGGCCCCTTCTGGAAAATCAATTGACCATAAATGTAAGGGTTTATTCCCAATTCGATTTCACTGATGTACGTGTCTACACTTAACGCCAGTACCACACTGTCTTGATTATTGTAACATTGTAGTAATTGAATATATTTTAAACAATGAATATTAAGGGCTGGCCAGGTGTGGGGAGAAGCCTGCGGTTCCAAGGGGCACATGGCAGAGGTGGTGGACATTCTTTGACCTGATCCCAGGGCTGAGGGGTCCACCCTCTTCTCCGCTCTCCCACAGCTGGGCTCCCCTGGGTGTGGCCCTCAAAGCTCTAGGTTTTCATTGGAAGGATCCCTGGGCAGCTAAAACCCCAAAGAAGGGATCTCCACCCTGGCCTCCCATCCCATTCCCGCTGGGAGGTGGAGTCTTTTAATCACACGCTGTCTCCATTCCACTCGTGGGGTCCTAGAACCCAGAGCGGGGAAAATCGAGAAGCTGGAAGGGGAGCAGGTGGGCTATGCAAATTACATGCTAACCACGTGCAAATGCACTCGCCTAGCCGGCGTCGGAAGCCGGAGGAGCGCGAGAGATTA